ACACGGCTGGCGATGTAAAGAAGGGAAAATTATTCTACCACTGCTATAAATCATACCTCTATGGTGCACTAACCAAGAAACAAATGGGTTTGAAAATGCGAACAGAGTCGAAAAACAAAATTACTACCTTACCCAGGGAAAAGGTAGTGCAGCCATCAACTTTTAGGCGCTTTGAATTAAAAAACGCAGTGGTCGCACTGTTTTCCAAAAAGAGGGGAAAATTAAGCCTTTTAGCTGTAGACTAAGGAAAATAGGGTTAGATAATTTTCAGTTGATCACGTAAAATGTTGTTATTGTAATTCAGGCGTTTGGAGACTGGAGTGTGAAGTTCGAAAAAGGAAAAGTTAGAAAATTATGACAAATATCATAATTCATAGATATTTTGGCAGATTTTGAATAATTTATATTGACCCAACTGTGAAAAACTCGGCGGATCGGTGGGATTCGAACCCACGCAGTAAGGGGAAGGCTTTAGTACAGCCAACACTCTAACCACTTGAGCTACGAGGCCCCGCCGGACGACTCGAGTTTAATCAGACTTGCGCAGGGGACCCACATAGCACATCGAACCCTGTGTCAGTGGCAGTAGAGCCCACTTCATAAAAGTGGAGAAATTCGCGTATCACGGGAGTACGATTCCGGGAAAAAATCAAGATCGTGGACGAAAACCGAATTCGGGTTTCCAAAGTCAGTCAGGCCTTTGATCGGCTAAAGCACCCCGTCCGGGACGGTCGCGGCATTCTTCTCAACGCAAAAACGAATATGTACGAGGTTGCTGTCCTCGCAACGCTCTTATACAGAGCGGAACCGCGGACTATTTGTGAAGGCCAAGCAAAAAGACTCAACCATTCTCATATCAGCTTCTCCGAAGAATACTGAAGGTGAAGTGGTAGGCAATGATTCTCGTCAATTATTCATAGGCCTGCAGAGGGACTTATTTTAAATACACAAACTATCGTTAATTAAGAAACCTCGACCTGAAAGAAAGAAGGTTCAATCGTGAAATTCCGGTGGGACTGGCAAAACATCAGCACCATTCGGGTTACAAGATCTGCTCTAGAGATTTTAAGGGACGAAGCTGGTCCATTTTCTGAACCGGTTAGGATTTCATTGGAGTACTGAATTCAACAGTAAAATACAGGCGTTCTGGGCAGGTTACTGCTAAACATAAAACGCTGGAGTACGTACAACAGTCAGACTGGTCGGCGACCGACGCTGTTGATTATATAGTCTCCTGAATTTGGGGAGTTATAATCATCGCTGGACCGCATTGTCTAAAGTTATGCCTTATTCTGCTGGGAAGGTTTCAGTCCCGTTTCTGTAATTACCTGTTCAAACCCGTAAATTTGGACGCTGAAGAATTTCAAAGAAAGTGGACACAAGTTGCGCATCGGACTTTTTTCCTCCGTAGCTTATAACAACAATATACTGTCCTTTCAAGCCACCCATGCTTAATGCAAAAAGGAAGGCTTTGGCAAAAAAATCGCCTCAGAAAAGCTTTTAAATATTTCATCAGCCCAACAGCCCCATGAATTTACTTGAACGATGAATAGTTTGGTTATTTAGGGTCGAAACGATTTGGTTTAAATAAGTCTCCTCGTGACTTTCACGTACACTCAACCATACTTTCAACGAAAAGAGATACGTCACTCTATAGCTCTGATCTTATCTCACCTTCTGAAATGGCTCCAACTGCGATAATTTTGCAATTTTCTAGAAAGACCACTCGAAATAGGGATGTCGCATAGGCACAAAACGTGTGCTCCGAGAAAATCGAAACCAACGCCACAGGAACTGAATTAAGGTGCTCCACCTCTGCCGCAGCCATGCCCTTCAGTCGAGAGAACTAATCAATAGTTCATCTCAGCTGTCTCCGAAAAATATCCAGAGTGAGGTAACAGGAAAGGATCCCAGACCCTGAGATCCTGGGAAGAATCGGCGTCCGCTGTCACTTCGTCATGCGGAGGCCAATTCAACTGCTGTTGAACCGCCATGTCGTGAGGATGGATGACGAGCGTCTGTCCATGCGACTGTTTTACGACGACGTCGTTACGGGCCAAAATATCTCCCTTAGGACACATTAAAGACCTTTCTCAAGAAAAGAGAGAGACCTGTGAGACTCAAGTCCTACGGACCATTAGCGCAAGAACCCAATCCCTGCCGTCAAGTCAACACTGGCAACGGGCATTCCGGGCACGAATTAACCTCGTCGGACATTTGCGGACTCAGTGCAATGGTAGTACAGCCACCCCACTTCCCACTCCACAACAAGGCACCACTACCGTCATCACCAGCGTAACCTATGAGGACATTTGTGATCTTGCAAAAATCAGCGCTACTGTCCCTACCACTAAAAATGTGGGCTCAGTTTCCGTCTGTCCCAATGTTGACCGCCAACTTTAACCACAAAACGGCCTGATCAGTCACTAGCTAATAACCTGCACTGAGACCGTCGAGCCGGTACCCGGAGACCCAGCAAGCAGTGAGTGACTGATCTCATGAAATGTTAGCAGAAATTCTGAAATGCGTTTTCAATTAGGAAGGACCACTTAGGCGGGGCTTTAATATATATGAAGTGCTTATGACCCGTCTGGTAGACCCCAGTGGTGGACCAGCTGCGCCAGGTGCGTCTGCGCGTATGTTTGTGTTTCCGGTACCAGCTGGCGGTCAGGGTTATGGTTGGCTGAATGAATGAAGGCAAACAAGTCCGAAACAGTGCTGTATCAATCTACCCCCAGACTCTGTCGTCTCCCCTCTGCTATCATAGCTTGGCCGACTTCGGCCTGGTAGGTGGTTGCCTGTTCGTGACCCCTATCGCCCATACGAAGCTTGTTTCCATCGGGAAGCCAATGGATCGCTGTGCGCCCATTCCTGAGTGAATAAATATCCGATCTGCAGCGACAGAGAATGGCAGGTGGCGAGGCACTGACGAACTTCGGTTCGATGAAGTGTTTATGACACATCTGGTAGACCCCAGTAGAGGATCAACTGAGCCAGGTGCGTCTGTGCGCATGTTTGTGTTTCTGGTCGCAGCTTCTGGTAGGTCTCATGACCAGATGTCGAATTGTTGACCCCGGTCGGTGGGCGATGCCGATCCCCAGCGGTCTTAAGAGACGGGAGACCGCCTCAGAAACGCCATCGATGTATGGAAGCGCCCGCCATATTTTTGGCCGTTCTGTTTTCAAACGTCGGCTCAGTCCGGCCTGTCTGCTGCGTTCGATGAAGTTGCGCGGATACCCGTTGGACATGAAGAGGCGCTGGAGGTAGCGTAGTTCTGACTTTCTGTCGTACGGCTCGCTGCAGTGTGTTTCTGCGCTTCTGTAGAGTGTTCGCACACAACTGCGTTTGTGGCACAACGGGTGCTTACTGTGGAAGATCAAGATTTGGCGCGTATTAGTGGCCTTCCTATATACCGACGAAGGCGCAGTCGTCACCACAGCCGTTCCATCTACTAGTCCGGCGGCCGAGAAAACGGACAATCGTTGCGGCGTAAACAAGATTGCCAGCCTTGGACGTCAGTTAAGGTCAATGTAGCTTTTCGGAAAACACCGGTCTGGAGGGTTCCATCTTCCTACCTCGTTACCCGCACGTCGAGGAAAGAGAGCGTTCCGTCCTTTTCTTCCTCCATTGTGAATTGGATTTGTGGGAAGATGGAGTTTAATTCTCCTCTAAAGGCCTCCTTCGCATCTCGGTGTAGGACGACAAAGGTATCGTCCACATAGCGCATCCAGAATTTTGGCGTGCGGGTAACGAGGCAGGAAGATGGAACCCTCCAGACCGGTGTTTTCCGAAAAGCTACAAACACAGAGAAAATACTCCACTACAACAGCAACCATCCGCTGTCGCATAAACGCAGTTGCGTTCGGGCACTTTTCCGCCACATCAACACGCACTGCAGCACAGAGGCCGAGAAGCTACAAGAGCGCGCGTCCCTGTGGCACCTCTTCCTTGTCAATGGATACCCACGTAGCTTCGTAAACAAATGTCTGTTCCAAAGACACACAAAGACTGACGGTGAGGCGAACCAAAAACCGGAGGTACTCCGTGTCTTGCCCTACATGAGGAACATCTCTGAGGCCACTGAGCGTATGCTAAGACCACTTAACGTGGGCGTTGGACACCGACCGGAAGCCACCATCCGCCGATTAGTCATGCAGCCAACGGGTAGGCTGCCCCCTGAGGACATGTCAGGTGTCATTTACCGCGTCAACTGCCTAGACTGTCAGGCCAACTATTGCGGCATGACAAACAAACGACTTAAAACGCGCATACATGAGCACACCTTAGCCGTCAAGCGGAAAGATGCGCGCTCACACGTCGCCATGCGCAGTCTGGAAAATGACCACCGGTTTCCAAGTGCTCGGCCGAGCGGAAAACAGACTGGCGCGAGAAATAATCGAGGCCTGGCAAACAGACGCCAACTCCATCAACCGCTGCGTCGACCTACCGGCACCATACGAGGCCGCCAAACACCACCTACGCACCAGGGGAGGCCCAATGAGGATAGAAATTGACGGCCCTATCAGGCGCGAGCGAGAGGGACCTATTTAAACCGTGTAATTTTCTGATATTCCCTATCTCCGATGATGTGCCCGAGTACGAGTATGAAACGTCAGACGATTAAATCTTTCTCCCCAGAGAACGCCTTATCTCCTTCTTCCATTCCTGCACCTGGGGTCAGCATTTTCGCTTATATCCATGAGACTTCCGGGCGCGAAGCGCTTCGCCGAGCGCGACACTGGGAAACGTTTTCCTGTAGACAGGGATCTACATGGGAACAATTGGCCTTTCTGCACAAATGCCTGAGGTCGGACATTATGCCGAGGAGCGTTTCTGTAAGACCACCAGCTAGAACTTACTTCGGCCGCGAGGTCGCCAGGAGCTGCAGCCGACGCCTAATAAGGACACTCACCAACGAATGTCACATTCGTCTGCGCAAATACAGCAAGGAAATCGAAAGGGAGAAAGCGGCATGTGCAGCATACCTGGACGAGCAAACAATGCGAAACCTGGAGAGTTGGATCTTTATTAAGGTGAGCGAGGAGCGAGACAAGAAGAAGACCCAACTCCTCAACAAAACACGTAACCTAGAACAAGCACAAGCACCCGTGCGCGAACCGTCAGCCGTCCACAACCTATCATCTAAACAGCTAACAGACGACCAAATTAAAGTGCTTCAACATGAATCCGGCTACAACACAGGAGACGCACAGCCAGTAGACTTTATCGCTGCACTAGAAGTGGCCCTCTCAAAAACGGATGCCGCAGAAGACTCCAAGAACGCGATTCGCCAACGAGTCGCATCCCTCATCATATCCCATAGGCCACGCCGAACCATCACCTCGGCCGAGCTCAAGGCCATAAGGGAATTAAAGAATGACGACGAAATTGTCATTGTTCCATCGGACAAAGGACGGGCAACCGTAGTGCTAGACAAGTCGGAGTACGTTGCCAAAGCGCAGCAGCTAATAAATGACAATCGATCGTATAAAGTCATCGACTCCGACCCAAAGAAAGCACTGGTAGGCAAGATCAACAAGAGCCTGAACCAGATGAGGAACGAAAATGCAATATCAGAAAAGGATTGGAGACAAATGAAACCACAAGATGCTGCCCTAGTGCGCTTTTATGGTTTTCCGAAAATCCACAAGCCAAATGTTTCCCTACGGCCCATTGTGGCGCTGAAAGGTACGCCTACCTACGGACTGGCTAAGTGGCTCGCCAAGCATTTAAAGGGGCTGACAGATGGCTCAGAACACACAGCCGTATCTTCAACACACTTCCTGGAAAAACTCGAAGGGGTTGCAATAGCCCCCGACGAAGTAATGGTATCCTTTGACGTCGTCTCTCTATTCACCTCCATCCCAAAAGAATTGGCCACGAAAGTCATCAATGACCTACTGGAGAGAAAGTACGACGAAGAGGGGAAACCGTTTAAGCGGAAGCACGTGATGGAACTATTGGACTACTGCCTACGCACGTACTTCACTTTTAATGGTCAAATTTACGAGCAAATCCAGGGAACCCCAATGGGGTCTCCGATTTCCGGCCATCTGGCTGAGGCGGTCATGCAGGAACTGGAAGCTCAAGTCTTTCAGTCCTACATGCCAAAATTCTGGATGCGCTACGTGGATGACACCTTTGTCATCCTACCTCGAGACATGAAAGAGACGTTCAAAAACAATTGAACTCAATCTTCCCCAAATTCAATTCACAATGGAGGAAGAAAAGGACGGAGAAATACCCTTTCTGGATGTCCAGGTGTCGAGACAGGAAGACGGAGCCCTCCAGACTGGTGTCTTTCGAAAGGCAACGGACACGGCGAAAATCCTCCATTACAGCAGTAACCATCCCTTGTCACATAAACGCAGCTGCGTGCGGACGCTCTTCCTACGCATCAACACACACTGCAACACAGAGGCTGAAAAGCTGCGAGAGCGTAAATCCCTATGGCGTCTCTTTCTCTCCAATGGGTACCCACGTAGCTTCATAAACAAATGCCTGTATCAAAGGCACACGAAGACCGCCGGTGAACAAAAACAAAAACCTGAAATCTTCCGTGCTTTGCCCTACGTGAGTGACGTTTCCGAAGCCACTGAACGCATGCTCCGACCACTCAACGTGGGCCTTGGACACCGGCCGGAGGTCACTATCCGCCGCTTGCTCATGCAGCCTAAGGGGCGACTACCACCTGAGGACACGTCTGGAATTTTTTACCGCGTCAACTGTCTAGACTGTCCGGCCAACTATTGTGGCATGACCGACAAACGATTAAGGTCGCGCATGCATGAGCATTCTCTAGCTGTAAAGCGAAAAGATGTGCGATCACATGTTGCTATGCATAGCCTGGAAAATAACCATCAATTCGGCTTCGACAAGGCAGAAGTAATCGGCCGAGCTGAAAGCAAAATGGCGAGAGAGATTATCGAAGCCTGGCAATCCAACGCCAACTCGATCAACCGTAGGATCGACCTACCGGCGCCATACGAGGCCGTCAGACACCACTTGGGCAGGAAAGGAGGGCCAGTAGGAAGAGAGACCAATGGACCTATCAGTAGTGAGTAATAAAGACCTATTTAAACCTTGTATTCCCACTTTTAATCTATCTCCGATGATGTGCCCAAGTATGAGTGTGAAACGTCAGATGAATAAATCATCCTCCCCAGAGATCTCTTTACCTTCTTCCATATATATATATATATACCATATATATTTACCATTCTGCCTATATATATAGGCAGGATGGTATTTCCGACAAAGACAAGGGAGACTGAAATGGCAATTTCTGGATTGTTAGCCGTCGTCAGCCAGCCATACCCAAGCCCGAAGTGTGGAACACCCGAGCCTCGAACTCGCGACCTGTTGGTTTAGAAGTCCACGCCTCTACCCACCGGGCCACGAGCCCGTTGCCCTGTCGGTTTTCGATCGGGAATATACAATGGTAGGGGGCGCTCACCGATCGTTCATACGGAACTCACTCGTTCCGTTGTGCCTTAAGGGCTCTCTCTCTCGAGCCCAACCAGCAGTCGCACAGCGGCGCATGATATATAGGCAGAATGGTATTACCGATAAAGACAGGTCACGAGTTCGATGCTTGGGTGTTCCACACTTCGGGCTTGGGTATGGCTGGCGGACGACGGCTAATAAGCCAGAAATGGCCACTCCAGTCTCTCTTGTCTTTGTCGGTAATACCGTTCTGCCTATATATCATGCGTCGCTGTGTGGCTGCTGGTTGGGCTCGAGAGAGAACCCTTAAGACACAACGGAACGAGTGAGTTCCGTATGAACGATCGGTGAGCGCCCCCTACCATTATATAAATATATGCAAAATGTTATTACCCACAAAGACGGGGGAGACTGCAGCGGTCATTTCTGGCTTATCAGGCGTCATCAGTCAGTCATACCCAAATCCGAAGTGTGGAACACACGGGATCGATCCGGCAACCTGTTGGTTACAAGCCCAACGCCCCTAACCACTGAGCCACGGGCTCGTCGCCTATTGTAGAGAACCCCAACGTACAACGGGAAGAGTGAGTCTCGTAACACGATCGGTGAGTGTCCTCTACCATATATCATACATACATGTTGTAGTTCTGAAAACATGCACAAAATATGTTTTTTTTTACTCGCTTGGTATCAAGTCACTTCGCCTTCACATTTTATATTCGGAGAAAGTTTGTATTTAGGTTTTGGGAAAAGTTTTCCAATTCCCGAATAATTCTGAGTTAGATCAGCCGTTTCATTAGCGTTTAGCGATTTCAGTCTAAAAGTATGAAGAAAATCACACATTCCTCCATGTCCTTAATAAGATGTAATGTAGAGTTTATAAAATTTTGCAGTGGATAAGGACTATGTTGTATACTTCACGAGGAATGTTAATAAACGGACAGCTGTAGTGCTGCATGAACGGATATTGCGCGGTTCTAAAAATTCTCATAATTGGTATATTTTTGCAATGTTTTCTATATGTGAAAATTGAGCTCAAAAGGCCGTCCGAAATAAATGTGAAAATACATACTACGTAGATAGTCACTTTATGCCGACTGTGGTTTTCACAGCAGTTCGAAAAGAAGTACATTCAGAAGCTAACATCCTAGTGAGTTCGAAATATCATGGAAACATGCCGCGTGATAACTTATACTGCAACCCCACCTAAGTAATCCATCCAAATCGAAAACGCATTTCAGAATTTTGGCTAACAGTTCACGAGATTGTTCACTGACTTTATTCTACCCACGCTGCCCTCGGACATTCAGAAATCGTATGGGTCATTTTGCACATATGCGCATGGGCGATAGCGGGGCTCATCACAGCTTCATCAAAACTAAACTATATCCTGCAATAGAAAACTCTCCTACTACTACCACCACCGACTTTAACACCACCAACGTTATTACCATTAACAGCAAGGCCTTTACCACCAGGTCAGTAATCGCAGTACCATCCTGTCATTACCGCCATCGAACATTTGGATCACACGATGGCCTTGTCGGTCACTTGCGAATTCATTGTGCTGAGACCGGAGAACTACTGGCAGAAACCCCGACATGCATCCCTCGTTCCAGTCTCGCTTGCCCACACCGCTTCAGGAGATTCGGCCATATGCTTTTTCACGAGTCGTCTGTGAGAACCGGATTCATGGCCCCATCATCATTTTGCCCTACCTGTCTACATGCACACATCCCTAGACTACATATGAACCTGTCCTGCAAGGCGCACTTAAACGTCACTCACGTAAGCAATGCTTTTTTCTGCAAAAAGCAAACAACCCGTTATGCCATCGACGTTATGGCACGCGAAACATCGCAAGTCGGTATATGCGTAGTTGAATTACATGGACAGCTTGTCTTCCGATCTAACAAGTCGTGTGTGACATACGTAGACAGGCTGTTTTATTCTGTCAGCCATTTGTGCCCAAACTTAGCACTAGGTGACTGACCGACTTAAACGGCGGACCGAGGGATGAGAGAATGAAGCCGACACAAGGGAATCCACCCCCATGGCACATCAACGCATTCCTCATTACAGTAAGCCCCATGTGGATGAATCCACCATAACACGCTAATGACCAAGGTTTGGAAATCTGCCAAGTGATGGAATAATTCGGGCCTTATGGCATTGTCCTGAAATAATTGGAGGACGGAGAGTTGGGCTCAGTGTAACTGAAACCTGCGTAAACGACTGTCGAAAAAGCGCACCGAAAAATTGTGGCGTTTGTACTCGCATATCTGTGCCGTCTGAAGAAATAATTCGGTTGCCTCAGGATAGAGAACTAGGCTTCCATGGCTTCCCCTTAATGAACCCTTAATGACACTTTCACGCATGTGAGACCGGAAGCGTCCCCGCAAACGTTTGATATACGCTGTGGGTACTAGCTCGCGTGTGGCAGGGGTAGACGGGTTGTTTAGTCTTGTTAGACACTGCACCCGAGCCCACCTCCGGTCGTCTTGACATCTTCCCGCCATTGGCGCCAGGTGGGTGGCAGAGAGTAGTACGTGAACCCCTGTCCCCCTGAACTATCTTCCTCTGGTGTCTCCTTATGCCTTAATACAAGCATGCGGTGCAAGTATGATTTCCCCATATGTTTAAGGACACCACGTTCCCTCTCCTAAAAGGCTCCCACTACCACCACGTCCGTATTAAAGATGGTCTCACACCTCAGTTCAAGTGAAGGACACAAATAGCTGTGTCCGACCTTATCTTTTGAGATCAGAGGTTCATGGCATCCCACAGCAGGTGTCGCAAGGAGACAGGGCGCACCAAGGACTTCTCTACGTGGAACTAAAAAGTCTGGAACAAGCTGCTTTCGTCGATTCAGCATTACTTTTTGATGCTGCTCCTCGGTCGCATCTTCATGCGAGTCGACCATTTGAGAAGTATTACTGACAAAGAGAAGAGGGACTGAAATGACCATTCCCCTTATCTCAGACCAGGCTAACCGGAGGTTTCGATCCGCGCCTAGCCGACCATTCAAAGTAATACCGCACAAATAGCCATAGGCTCAAGTGCTATCGGCTGTAAGCAGGAATAAGCAAAAGTAAGTCGAAGTAATGTCCACCAACTTGCTCTGAGTGTTGGTCGAAATGTGCTGAGGTTCCGTGGTCCCCACTTCCAGGAACTTTCAGAATCTCTGACGCAAAATACTGACACAATAGTAGACAACAGCGAGTACCTGAAACCTGCGTAAACGACTGACGAAAAAGCGCACCGCAAAATGGCAAATGTCTGTGTGCGCATATCTGTGCCGACTGAAGGAATAACTCGGTTGCCTGAGGGCAGAGAACCAGGCTTCAATGGCTCCCCTGTATGGTACTCCGTTAGGACACTTTCCCGCATGTGAGACCAGAACCACCCCCTCCCCGAAAGTCTGAGATACGCTGAGGGTACTAGTTCGCATGTGGTACGGGTGGACGGGCTGTTTAGCTGTGTCAGCCACAGTGCCCGAGTCTGTCTTTGACAGTCTTGACAGTGTCTTGCCATCGGAGCAAAACAAGTGAGGGAAGGGAGCGTAGGCCGCATTCTGCGCAAGCCTACCTCAATTCAAACTAGTCCACGCGTAAGTCACCGTCTCAGACCCACTCCGTGAGGCACGTGGTGAACGTCTTGGCTTGCGGCGATCGAACTGTTATATACAACTCGTAGTTATTAACTTTAGAAAATAACATCAGAGAAATGTTTAAGTTGGTGC